TATCTATCTATCATCTATCTATCATCTATCTATCTATCATCTATCTATCTATCTATCTATCTATCTATCTATCTATCATCTATCTATCATCTATCAATCTATTATCTATCTATCTTGTTTCCCCAGATAAGAAGCCAGCATTCCCTGTTATAAAGAAAAGTAAAAGTAAAAGCACAAAGATCCACAATCACCCACACCAGAGAAATCGTATGGAATTCTAGCAGGTGTGTGGATACGTACACACAGGGAACCACTGCTCTGAGGAACAGAAAGTTGCCAATCTGAATCATCTCCCTCTCTGAGGAGATGTGCTGTGCTGCCAGGCAATTGAGCCCTGCAGCCATAAATCAAGGTGTTTTCATGCTATTACTTGGGCTACATTTTGGTTAATAGCTCTTTGCCTTGAAGGTGTGGGGTTAACAACTTGCTGTACAGACAGGAGGACAAAACTACTGTTCTAAGGTGAATGACAACGTATGGAAAGTCAGCCACCAAGTTGTGGTTTGCATTAGTTTTATCCAGTCAGGAGAACCTAGGGACCTGAGCTTATTTAAGGGAAGATCATGGAGGATGGGGGTTGGCTCTGTCAATAAACTGCTGCCACGTAAGCATGAGCCTGGGTTCAGATCTCCAGCACTCATGTAAAAAGTCAAGCATGGCAGCTGTGACAACAATCCCAGCACTGGAGAAACTGAGACGGGAATACTTGGAGCTTGCTAACAATCCAGTCTAGTCAAATCAGTGAGCTCCAGGTTCAGGAACTGAGACCATAGACAACTATGACCTCACATGCAAGCATACACATGTACGCCTGCAGACATGTGTACTCACGCACATGAACACACACAGAGAATAAAAGGGAAGAAAAAAGAAAAGAAAAATCACAGGAACGCTTCATCCTCAGATCTGCGAGACATTGAAGGAAAGCTCACCACTTCTTAGACTTGAGGCGAGGTGCGGGGTTCCGGGGGATGAGGAAGAGGGCTCTCATAGGATGCATGTCACAAAGAGCTGCAAGAGACCAAAAGCAAAGACCAGATCCAGTTAGGAGGTTAAACCCACTTTAAGTCCATCCTGGCTATTCAGATAATGCTGTCACAAGAATGTGTGGGTCTACGAGGGACCTGGGAGCACCAGGTCAGAAGATATGAACACTTCCATTTGGCAGGCACTTAAAAGGGCTGATGACTAATGAAATAAATCTCATAAAATAGACACATTTCAAACAAATATTAAGATGCCTAGGGGCATAGATTTACTTCCTAAAGAAAGTAGGTTAAAGGGCCAAGGACCAGTCATCTTTGTAGTAAATAAACATCTGACATTCAAAATAAACAATATCAGATGACAGCTACAATTGAGGTGGTTAAGTTACTTTTTATTAACAAAAGCCCAAGCCATAATCTAAGAAGTATTTGAAAAGTCAAAGTCTGTGTCTTCTCCCTGAGGCTCATCTGAACACTGTTATCTATGCAGACCTCTAGAATCTTCAGTAATCTCCCAGAATACTACCATTCCGTTTCCAGAGGTCCCTAGTGGCTTTTCAGTTTGCACTATAAGTTTTGTTTTGTTTTTAAATTCCCTGATCCCAGGATGACCAGAGGATGAGGAAGTCCAATAGAGTCTAGCAGCTGGTAAACATGACATCATTGTTTACAAGGAACACACTCATACATTCTTTTTTTAAATATTTTTGTTTATTATTTTTGTGTATGAGTGTATTGCCTGCATGTATGTGAGTGTACCCGTGTTGTGCAGTGTCACGGAGGTCAGAAGAGGGCTTCGGATTCCCCTGGAACTGGAGTTAAGGACGGTTTGTAGCCGCCATGTGGGTGCTTTACAACAGTGAGAGTACTTTTTTTTTTTTGCTTTATACATAGATTGAGAATATATGCTCCTCAGTGCCAGTAGATTCTGTGGGTAGAGTTTATTTTTAGTTTAGTCTACCACTCAAGTCGATAACACAGTTTTAAGACAGTGGCATCCAACTTTTCGGATTTACAAATATTATTATGAACAAAGGGAATTTTGTAAACAAATATTCCAAGTCAACTATGCTACTGATGGATTCAAGAAATTCTGGAAAAATAAATGGACAGTAATAACTTGAAGGAAAAAAAATCCCAAGTTTGAGAATGACTTGTGATGGAGCTGAGGGTCTGTTTTTGTCCTAATCCTTCCAGAAACCAATGAGAGTGTGGAAGTGTGGGATTAAGCATGGAAGGAGATCACTGGGGGGAAATTCCTGTGTGAAAGGAAATAGGAAGGGAGCCAGAAAAGGTGAGAGAGTCATCCCACTGCTCTGAAAGTCTGGAGAGCTAGAGGGAAGGAGGATGGAGCTCCTCACTGCCCTGCAGTCCTAGGGTCAGAGCTGCTTACAGAGAGATCTCAGTCTCTTGAGAATGGGCATGCCTTGGTTTCTATACTCTGCGTGTGCGGGGCGGGGGGGTGCCCTTGAGAGGTAGGCTCGGCGAGGGGCATATGCTTAGTGAAAGTCTGTGAGGCACAGTCTCAGTTTGCCAGGCCACCACAATAACTGACAGAGGGGTTCTACAGTACCAGTATTCTAAGTCCCAGAGAACTTGGGGTTACTCAAGATTCCCAGGGTCCTAGTCACTCTGCCCAAACCAAAAACAAGGATATCTAAAAGTGTAAACATTAGTATTCTCAGAGGGACAGACAGTAAGCTCAGGTGTTTGTGTAAACTGCATTCTGAAATACAGCTTTAGATTTTTGTATTTTGGAGTTTACCGTGGCTGGCTGCTCATAGTTCTTTGTTAGGCAAAGAATACTTCAAGAATAAACTACATGCTAAATGGGTAAGACAGACAGGACTCCCCCAAATTTGCTTTCTTCTTTTCTAGTAAAATTCAGATCCTCACACTGGGCTGAAATGAACAGATTCCTGGTTGGTTTAAGATGGCTTTGCTTTCTAAATATGCTACCTCAGACCCATGCTGGGCTCAGTGTAGCAGAAGTTAGACCAACCTCAGCCTCTGGCAAGGAGCCTACAAGACCCACAGAGCCAACCAGCCATGGATTTTACCCTAGAGGAAGGTACTTACGGGGAGCGCCTTCTGCCATCTCAATGGCAGTGATTCCCAAAGACCACAAGTCACTCTGAAAGACAAGAAGCATAAATTCAATCAACAGAGGGCAACTTGGTTAAAGCTGGTAATTACTTCTGAATTGCCTGTGGGAAGTCAATCCATTGACTGTTTACCAACCATTTTCTTCTACCCAGCTGCAAATCAGGGGGAGCCTCATTCAGTGAGCACATCTTTCCTGATGTCTAGCTTATGGTAGATTTGCAATAAATGCATAATACAAGGTTTGTTAAAAAAATTCATTGCTGTAATTTACCTGTCAGTGGAAATATGTGAAAGCCTTTTCATTGTTTAACTTATTTTGAACTTTAAATCCTTTATTTTCAGCCAGTGTAAAATTATGGGCTTTCTAGTGTTTTTTCCACACCTGCGCATCAGGGACCTGGCTTCCATTTCCCTCTGTTGCCCTCCTTCCCTGCTATACTCCCATTCGTCCCTGTGATGGTTTGAATGAGGTGTCCCCAACCCGTAGGCTCAAGTATTTGAACACTTGGTCAATTGGTGGCACTGTTGAGGGAAGGTCTTGGAGCCTTTAGGAAGTGTGGTCTTGCTGGATGTAATACATACATCTCTGGGGTGGGCTTTGAGAGTTCATAGCCCTTTCCTACTTGTAGTCTCTCTCTCTCTCTCTCTCTCTCTCTCTCTCTCTCTCTCTCTGTCTCACTTTCATTCTCTCTTTCTCTCTTCCTGTGCTTACTTGAAGATGGGATCTCTCAGTTTTCTGCTCTGACTGCTTCCTGACTTGTCCCTCCAACCATGTTGGACACTTATCCCCCTGGAACCATAAACCTAATAAACTCTTCTTTCTATAAGTTGCTCTGGTCCTGGTGTTTCATTGTGGCAACAGAAATGTAACTAATAGTGTCCCCTTCTTCTCTCCCCCAACTTTCACGTCTTATATACATTTTTATTTTAACACCCTTATTGAGTTATAATTGTCATATAGTAAATGCACATATATAAAGTATACCATTTGATAAAGTATGGCATATACTTACTCCTGTGAGTTCATTACCACAATCAAGGCAGCAAGCATACTATCACCCCCAAAAGACTCCACTTGCCCCATGCAGTCCATCCCTTCCTTCCCATCTCCAGCAACCACTGATCTGCTGTCACTATAGATTGCTTTGCAGCTTCCAAATTTTATATAAAAGGAGTAAAACAGTATGTGGTCTTTTGCATCTGGTTTGTTTCACTTGGCCTGATGTTGAAGGCCCCCTGTGGTACCATAGATTGGTGCTTTATTCATTTTTGTCACTGAGCAGTATTCCACTAGATGGACATGCAGTTTGATTACACTTGTTGGGAGAGTTTGGATTGCCCCCAGTTTGGTTTACTCTTTATAAAACCGCTGCAAATGCTGGTGTACAAGTCTTTGGAGACAAGCTTTTATTTCTTTTTAAAAGATACCAATGGGTCAGAGTGGTGAATTGTATCATATTAGTTATATTCAATACTGTTTAATGTACAAACCCATGCTTTAATAGGATGAGGACAGGGATATTCTGATGTTGGTGTACACTATGTGTCTCCAGTACTTAGAACAGAATTGGGTCCAATCATAGATATGCAATGCATTTCAGAACAGATGAGCAAATGCCTGCCCCCAGCTTGCAATAAACTATTATGTAAGGCAGATCTTCATAGGTACACACTTCTGTCTGTCTGGATTGACTTTTACACTCTAACCAGGGTTTACCAAGGCAATGCTTCTTCCCTTTTCACCCACAAGGACTCTCCATCTCTAACAATACGCTTCCCCCATACATTCTGTCTAGGCCCAGTCATCTCTAAATACTGCATGCCAGGAGTCACATCAAGACACGGGGAAAACCAGGCAAAACAAACTCAACAGGATGCCTAATGCTCCCGCCTCTCTGCAGATGAGTGAGGAAGCCTAATACGAAATTTGGTTCAATGAGCTGCATTGTGCTATAAACCATCCCCCTCCCAGCGTTTAAAGCATCTCACTCTGTATAGTATTCAAAATTCTTCTCCCGCATAACCTCACTCAGATTAGAGAGATCAAAGCGAAGTTTCCTTTCTATTTGCATCAAGCAAATGTGAAGGGCACATGAAAACAAAAGACATAACCAGAAGGGAGCTATAGAATACATGCCGAGTCACTCGGGTAAACTAAATTTCTCAGTGAGCTGTGAGTGACAAGCAGGCAGGTTCAGCGTTGAGCAGAGTCCTGGGCAATATTCAAGGGTGGGGGAGGTTCTCCCCTAGAGAGCAATGACCCTACAGTAGGTGGCTGGGCAGGTGAGTCTGGCACTAGGACCAAGGGGTGGAGTAACAAATGTTAAGTTCTGAGATCCACCAGGGAGAGTGATGCACCTGAGTGGTACCACTGGGCTTGGATTCCAAGTCACTTCCCTGTTTGCAACAGGGAAGGCAGCTTTGGTCCTTACTCTTTGTTATCTTTCAGGATGGCTTCAAAGGTGCCACTGAGCGACCAGAGCCATGGGGTTTGCAGAGCTTAGCAAAATGGTTTCTCTTGTCTCCTGATCTTGCTTAGTGAGGTCACTTCCGGTGCTAATGAGAAAACCCCAGCCCACCCGTTACCGGTTGGCCCAGGAACAGAAACCTGATGAAGATTAAAACACAGCTCTCCTGTACCTGGTTTATAGGTCAACAGACAAAGGCAGTTGCTTGGGAAAACAATGAAAACAGAGTGACTTCTGGTGTGGGAAGAAACAGGCAGGAAAACAGCCAGAAGCCTGGAAATGGAGGTGACCTTCAAAGGTCTTCGTGCTCTTTTGATAAGGCCCCCATGTCCTCAGGACTGGTTGTTTCCACCAGCAGTTCCCCACTACTCCACGAACTGAGCATTTTCTGTAGAAGGTAGAGGAGGAAACCAGGCTCTCTGCCCCGGCCCCCTCCACTGCAGGGTTAGTTGAAAAGGCCCTCAAGGCCAGGAGGCCTTGAGTTGGTGAAACACTTCACACATGTGAAAGGAAATGATGGTCCATAGCCAGGCTCACGACTACCTTAGGGTCTGCGTTCAAGCTCTGCCTCCACTGGGAAGAGGGACAATAGGGCTGTTCCCCAGAGATGTGCAGGCTGACCTCTGCTGTGCCCTCCCCCGGTGCCTGGCCCAGGGCAACCTCCTGGAGCATTGCGGCCACTAGCCCTTCTCACATTAGACCCTCACAGAAGTAATCACCCTCAAACATGCTGCATATTGATACATCATAAATTTACTGCATTTTCTGTTTGTTCTTTGTATCCCTTGCCTCAACACACACACACAGAGAAAGAGAGAGAGAGAGAGAGAGAGAGAGAGAGAAACATAATGTCATCATGTCATGGATTTTTGTTTTGTTGGCTGATTTATTCAAGTGCCTAGAACAGTGCCTGGCACATAGTAGGCCCCTAATAAAGATGTGCAAAATGAACAAATGAGAAGATGTGAGAGAAAGGAGCTAAGCTGAAGGTCCTGCAGGTCACAGGGCTGTCCCAGTATTTACAGATCTTCTAGTCTAGCCTTTGACTTTATACACAAGGGAAAAAGATATGCCCTAGATCACAGAGGAGCTAAGCTCCAGGTTTTAAACAGAGCTGGGTCTCCCTCTGCCTTGGCCATTTCTCCTGTAACGACCATCACAATGCCAAGTCTTGAGTATCCATTTTTATTTTGAGTCAAGGATCCATAAAATACGTGTTCCCGATTTCTGTTTTGCTCACAGGTGATGGAGGTGGGGGCAAAATGGAGGCACTGAGATTGAGCAAGGTGCCCCACTCCTGTGCTGCAAATCCAGCCTCTGTTTCCTAGAGGAAGTATAGGTTGGTGGGTTGGTGGAGAGAGAGCAGTCTTTCAAAGCAGACAGATCTGGATTCAATTCTAGGTTCCTAATTTAGCACTTGCAGAGTGCTGCCCCCGCTTAGCTTTCTCAATGGCTCAGGAGGTGATGGTGGCAGGCTTCAGGAGTGCCGCCTAGCACAGATCTGGCACACAGCAGGCTCCAGCATATGGCGTTTCTCCTCCTGTAACACTAGGTGAGGATGGCTCGGCCTCCTAGTTTAGCTGCCGTGGCTTCGCTCCACGTGGTTGTGGAAAGACACCATTTGTTAGTTAACCTGAAGGCACTTTTACCCCCAATTCTCACTGCTGCCTGCACTTCAGAGTATCCAAAAGCTATGCCTGCCTCACTGGGCTCCCAGCAGCAAGTTAGCTTTGAGATAGAGTTATAGCCAATGAGACATAAGCAGATGTTCAAAGGTAGCTTGTGCTTTTCCCCCAATAGGGAACTAATATGGCTGGCGTCTTGCAAACTCCTCTCCACTTCTTAGTGCCCTGAATAAAAACACGGTATCTGGAGTTACAACATCCATCTTGCAACCAGAGGCAATCCGCCAAGCAATGGGTGATGATGGGGCTGAAAGGTAGGAGGCGGTTTCTGAAGGCATCTATGCATGTCACAGCCCCAGACTGCTGGCCTTGAGACTTCTGGTGACGGTGATGCAAGAAATGTAGGTAGAGCCACAGATATTTCCAAGTGATCGTATGTATGTATGTGTGTGGCAAGATCAGGAAGAAGTACTACTAAGAAGTAGTTTGAAGGCAGAGAAATGTGACATCTCACCTGCTAGGTACTCCTGAGAACACCCATCCATTGAAGCAGGGTGGGTTAGGGAAGAGATGCCTCTCTTGGGTAGCCTTCCCACAAAACACCCCCTTCAAAGTAGAGCCCCCACCATACCATCCAAACAACCACTATACCCTTTGCCAAGTCACATAACCAGGGCAGTCATGTGACTGTTGCTTCATTTCATGTCATCATCGGGATCATCCGGGGCTAGGGTTATCCTGTTTTCTAAAAGGGAACATCTATATTCCTGGCCAAAAGCTGCTTGTTAGCTCTATTTAAATGCCTGTGTTAGAAAACCATAAATGTCCCTGACAGGCCTTGTTTAAACCTTCAGATACATTAGTGAGTCCCAAAGACACATCAGAACTTAAATGTGGGAGAAAACGCTCTCATTACAACTGGCAAGACGGATCAC